GATTTAAGGTTTTTATATAGAAGGTTGTTTTCCAAGGTTTTGGACTAGGGTAATGTGCGTAGAATAGAGCAGATTGCCACAGATCTCGTTTTAAGGTTAGAAGATTTACACGTCGTAAGACGCATAACCAACCTTTTTAGGTTTACATTAAAAGGTTTTTGCTGAGTGAAAATAAACCATATTTTGCTATTTGGGATTTATTTTAAAAATTATATAATGCAAAGTTGTTTATTCTTAGTTTTTTTTTAATACAATTTATAAAAAGTAAGATTCTCAAGGGCCCCCTGAGTGCCTGGGGCCCCTGGGCACTGCCCGGGTGTGCCCATGCGTAAAGACGGTACTGCTTATTACTTGTGTTTACAATGCTAACAGTACTGGTGTTTACAATGCTAAAAGTGTTAACACTAACGTAAGATGGTGCACAGCTTGCAACAAGAACAAACAGTAATAAACTTAGGGAAAAGAGGCCATATCAAGACTGCCAAAAAAGCGAGTTATTCAAAATCTAGCAACCATGTCACCTTTTTTTTAACAATATGTCTCTAAAAAACTAAAGAAAATTTTCACTTCAAACTCACCAGAATTTCATATTAATATCTTATGAAATATGGCAGATTTGAGGTCAGAAATTATCTAATTTATTTCTTTTATTGAAAACAAAATTATCCGTTTGAAAACATCGCCTATCAGAATAACATGTAGTAAGCAGCTGCAAACTTTTTAACCAGAACTAGAGTAGATGCCGAGCTTGAGATTGTTATTGTTTACATTTCTATTGAAAACACCATCCATACAACTGAAAAGAGGAGGAAAGAGAAGGGCCAAAGATATGAAACCGGCCTCCCCCCAGATGGCGTACTCGAGCGTTTCGATCGCCAATACACGCACCTTTTTGTATTTGCTGTTGTTGTTAATTTACGTCGCACTAGAGCTGCACAATGGGCTATTGGCGACGGTTTGAGAAACATCCCTGAGGAGGATCCGAAGATATGCCATCACAATTTTGATCCTCTACAGAGGGGATGGCACCCTCGCTTCTGTAGCCCGACGACATACACGCGAAGTCGAGCACTTTACGCTAGAACAGTTTAACGAGGGCCAATACCGCACACCCTCGGCCCCTACGTAGACTGATCCAAGTGGTCACCCACCCGCACACTGACCGCAGTCAGTGATGCTTGACTTCGGTGATCTGCTGGGAGCCGTGTCTTGACGATCAGTCCACTGCGGGATGCACCTTTTTTTAAAGTCAGATTATTTACAACTATTTTTTCCGATTTTGTTAAAATTTCGATGCATATTCGCGACAGCAACGCTTGATTACTCCCTCTGGCGGGAGCCTGAAAATATCCGCATGAGTTCTATCATAATCATTGCCAAAGACGTTCACCATTTTCTTAGCAGCAAATAAGAAGCAAAATTTCCCTCAGGGAAAGGCAGAAGAACTTGAGATAACTAACCAGAACATAGCAAACATTGAAGCAGAACACGCGAAGAATTTGAAGAACAATTTCTCAATAATTTTTACCTTTCTATTATCAACAAACTTGCAACTTTGGGATCGCATACTGTTACAGATGTGTGTACTACGATAAAATAATTTTTTTTGGTCCTCAATTCATTACAAATTAAAGAGAAGACGACATTGCTTTCTTCATTCCAAAGGATAAATGTGAATTCGGAACATACAGAACTGTAACAGTTATAGAATATTCTTCTTCTTTATAGAATAGTATATATTTCTCTATCTATATAATTCGGAAAACAACAATCAAGAATCATCCGAATTACGTAAAATAGTATCATTTGTGCTGATTATTAATACATTTTTTTATCGTTTTCTTGGTAAGTATTTTTAGTTTTGAAAGAATAATTTAAACTAGAATTCAGCTATTCTGTTTCTCAAGCTACATATTGAAATTCATATCGAGATCTTACAATTATAAAATTTTTGCTGTGTGGTATGTTATCTAAAAGTAATGAAGGAATAATCTAAGTATATATTATTCGAAAATAAAATTTTCAAGCGAGGAACATATCATATGATTTTTATAATAAAAAATTTACGTTTAAGAATTTTTTTTTCTTATTTGATGATAATTTTCTATAGAATGGTTTTCTACGTCCAATTATGAATAAAAACAAAAAAGAACATGAAAGTTTTTTATTTTAATGTGAGAAGTTTTAGAATTGTTTTTTTTTGTAAGCATTCTTTATTTTAAGTTTTTTAGTTTCTAAGTACTAATGATTTTTATTGAAACTTAAAATTTTCTGATAAAATTTGTAGTCAAAAAACTTCTTTTACAAAATTAAATTATATACAATTATGAGGCTTATGTATACTTTTTGCTTATTTTAATGTTTGAGATAATGTGATTCTTAAAACTATGGAATGTAAAGATTGAATAGGCCTTTCATGTTACATCATTAAATTTAGTAAAACTATTTCTCAGGCATTAGGTTTTAACTCTAATAAGAAGATACATATTTTTTTCTGCTTATGTACAAATATTTTTCCAATGTGTTTTTGATGTTCTTTCTCTAAAAAAAAGAGATACCATTTTGTTTGCAGGTATTCGTCTCATACAACAGCGTCCCCTATAGTTCGTAGCGATCGCGAATTGAGAATTTGCCTTTAGTGGGAATTTTCCGTGAATGGTATTTGCAAAAGCTACAAGCGCATATCTATGAAGCATAATGATCCGAAACTGATCGACTAAATGTGTTCAAATTCATAAAATCTTCATAATACCTGGGCAGAAATCCCCAATATTAGTCCCTGCTACATAATTAATATTTCTCATGAGAAAATTAAAAACACTTAGAAAAAACATAGAATTCTTGTGCTTCAATATTGTATTGTCTAAAAACTAATTAGAGCAGTTTCTTATGTTGAAGCTGACAACTTTACTATTTCATAGTAAGTTCTTGGATACCATAGAGTTTAATAATTCCCAGTCAGTGATCTGTGGTGCCAGCTACAGTCGCCAAGGTACCAAATGAATGTCAAACTTGAATTTTTTTTTTTAAAAAAAAGGGTAGTTGTTTGCCCTGGGGTGGCTATGAATTTTACCCTTTTTGTCATGTTTTTTCTTAGTTTCTCGTGGGTCGCTAGCCGGAAGTTACCAAGACTTGGCGATCATTCTGTTGGTAGGGCACTGAACCCATGTCCAAGAGCTCGTGGGTTCGATCCCAGCCGGCCGAAGACTCCTCGTGTAGTAAATGCTGATTGATGCCCGTAAGAGTTGTCGAGTCGCAAAGTCCTCCATGTCCCCATAACAAATCAATACCTCTGATGGTACTGATCCACGAGTTTCTTTGTCTTCTGGATTGGTTCAAAATTACAAGGCTACGGAGTTTAACATTAGTAGTCGTAAACCCAAAAATTGGGTCGGCTGTTCTATGACGAATACAAAATAAGATATAAGAAACTGGAGAAGAAAAAAACAACAGATTACTGATAATATATATTTTTTCCATTGCATAAATGAATTATTTTTAACATTACAATGATTTAATAGAAACTGAGATTTAAATTAAACAACATATAATTGAAAAAAAATGGTGATTGAGTGAAATAAATGATATATTACTCTGGATAAATTTTGAATAAAATTGAAATAAATAATGTGGAAATTATTGTATTGTTAAAATAAAGTAGATGTGAAAAACTTATAACTTTATGGTATACATTAAATTTAATTTGTTTAAAATTAAACTATTTTGGTGGCTTTTATTAAATATTACTGCTAAACAATGATATTAAAGATTTTTACTTTCTTGCATTTTGTAAATGTTATTGAGATTTTTTTTTTACAGTTTCTTCTAGTGTCTTGGAAGAAATAGGTTTCTTTCATACATAATTCTAACCCTACCCAACCTTTTTTCTAGGAATTCCATTAAAAAACTTCTAAATATATTTCATTCATCTAAGTTTCTTATTAATAGTACATGCACAAGAAAATCTTTTTTTTTTTTCATAATTTCTTTTCTCCATTTTCAAGTTACATGCTGTTTTATAAAAATGTAGTAGTGTTTCTAATTTCTGTAAAATAAATTTTAATAATATTTTATATTGTAGAAAGATGACTATAGCCATCGGATTAGAAGGAAGTGCAAATAAACTGGGTGTTGGAATCATTAAAGATGGAAAAGTATTATCAAATTGTAGAGCTACGTACATAACTCCTCCTGGTGAAGGTAGATTTTTAAGATCAATCAATTTTTATATACATTTCTCTGTTCTTACGACAATAATCTTAGAACATTTTTTTAAAAATAAATGTTTGATTATATTTATTATCTTCTAAAATTCAGATTTTATAATTTTTTAGCCATTGTAGAGGTTGAAAAACCTATACAATGGTTAGAGAAGAAAAATAGAGATTTCATATATTGAGCCAGAATTAAGAGCACACATTGTAAAAATAATAAACTTTAATGATAAAAATTAACAAATTTGAGAAGAGTTTTAAAAATGACTTCTCCGTCTGAGCTCTAAACTAGTTCTGTTGTTAGAGGCTGTGGCTGCTGTTGTGCGTAGAGGCATTCCTACACTGGTCATCTGACAAATCGCACCTGACCCCAGGTGTGCCAGTGAACAAAATATAAATAAAAAGTAATATATACTCACTTAATCACAGCTACAAAAATTCAAAATATCTCGCTATAACATCATCTGAAAAACTTATAAGAAATATTAATTATCAGACATAAGTATTAATTTCTAGGAGAAAAAAATGTTTCTAAAAAAGGAAAACTGAAATTGTCTTTAATGGAAATATTAGAAATCAAAAATTGCTCGAACTGTTCCATCTCATTATTTAAATTTTTTTTAACAACCTGCTGTAACTTTTGTTAAGAACCTGCTGTATTTTTTTTCAGCCTGAGTTAAAATATCCATACTAATTATAGCATATGACATAACATCATTTTTAACAATATTAGCAATAAATTGTTGATTATCAATCAGAATTGAAGTCATTAACTAGATAATTGACATTCATATAAATGATACTTGGAGAGGATTGAGAAGAGCTGATGTGCCAAAGTAAAACTAATTTTAATATTATCAAAGTTATGCTCAAAGGTCCCAACAATTTGTGGTAATGAAACTCTTGATGACATTCCTTTCTATCCATTAATCCGGAATTTATGGTCAGGAATGAGATTTCCACTTTTTTTCAGATTTTTCCATTTTTCCCCCGAATTTCCGCTGAAAATTTTTTTTGCACAAGTTTAAATATTTTATGAGGAATTTAATTTTCCACTGAGCGAAATTATTGAAGTCCTTATTCCTCCCTCTGAAGTTTCTCTAAAAATCATTTCCTTGGGATAAAACTGGTTGGCCTTTATACAGGGATGAGATTTTTCTCTCGAATTTCAGCCTTTTTATCAAAAACTCCGATTCTCTAAAAGTTTAGTTTTTTTTATAAATATCCCGCTTTTTTTCTTCTTTTTTTTAAAATTCAGTCGTTGAAGTAAAATAATTATATTTATTTACGATTTTCAAAGATATTTATCCGGTNGAAAATAAGATTTTCCATATTTTTTATCCGTCGGCGGGACAGCTCGTATTTTCGTAATTCAGACGTCGCTGCTTCTTACATTCTGGCGTGAAAACAAACAAAAAAAGAGAGAAAAAAATAGAGGTGGATTTGCGGTGAAAATATTTATTTGCTCATTCAGTTAATCTTGTAAATTTTAATTTATTATGTCTAAACAAAAACAATACAAACAAGCCTTTTGGAAATCCCAAGTTCAGACTCTGCAAATATGTCGATTTTTATTCACGCAATTTTAATATCAATCATCGATTTTCGCATTTACCTGATTTAAAAGTTGCGCATTGCGATTTTTATTTACGCTATTTAAATACCGTACATTATGATTCTTATTTACGAGATTTAAAAATCCAATATCGTGTTTTGTATTTATGCATTTTTAAAATTGCGATTTTATTATCAAACATCAATTTTTGTATTTGCCTGATTTAACAGTTGAACGTTACGATTCTTATTCAGGCGATTTAAATATTGTGCATTGTGATTCTTATTTACGAGATTTAAGAAACCAGCATAGCGATTTTTATTTATGAGCTTTTAAAACCCTATGTAGCAATTCATATTCACGCGAGCTTAAAATCCAATGTCGTGTTTCGATTTTGCGGTTGTAATATCACGCAATTTAAAAATTATGTATTGTGATCTAAAAGTTACGCATCATGATTTGTATTTTCGCATTCTTTAAATTTGATGTAGAGTTTCATATTTGCGTGATTCTGACTACTCTCATCCCTGTTTATAGTACAACTGGCTTGTTGACATTCTATTGGCAAACATTTAAAATTAAAGCGGTAATATTTAAAGTTTATATGTGGTCTCAGTGTGTCTGGAATGTTAGTACTGTTTTCTTCTATCTGATTACACATTCTACTGATCTGTCTGTTAACTGATCATGTTTATATTTGTTAGTAAACATTCAAAATTTTCCCCTGACCGTGAAGTGTGTTCTGTAATATAGTTAATCAGTGCAGTACAATACCGTAAAAAATATTTCACAGTGAAAAATGTGGTGAGCACTTAAGAGGACAAAATACCACGGGATAGTTTTTTGTCGCAGAATCTCTTTCCCCTCCATGTCAAATTTAAAATTTCAAAAAAAAAAAAAAAAAAAAAAAAAGAGAAAGTGAGTTCAGGCAAGCCTAGAGTAAGTCATTAAGTTTCGATTACTGAAAAAAAATTCAAAATATCATAATGCAAACAAATTACTGGAATAGAACTTCTCCATTCCGAAATCCTAAGATATAGTTAGTTCTCATAATTTATTTTGATTTTGATATTTTAAAAATTTCTTGTTAGTATTTAAAACTTTATGGCTTGTTCTAAGTTTGTCTGAACTCACTTTTTCTATACTTAGTTATTAGCTATAGAGGTGAATGAGCATTTGCGAAAAGTTTCTCCCGTGGTATGGGGTTCTCTTAAAAGACATGGAATCCTGGGTAAATGCCTCCTCATGTTACTTCATGACAAAGCATGTCCCAATTCTGTTGTTCGTTTTCACTTAAAACCTTATTCAACAATTCGATTGGGAACAGTTTGATTTTTTTCTGTTCCGCTCCGATCTTGTACCTCGAGTTCTTAAACTTGTAGCGTGGTCCATTGACAGTGAGAATGACACAAAACGGTGTTCAGTAGTGATCGTCTGCACTGGTGGCATCTTTCTTTGAAGAGAGGTCATAGACAGGCTAGTTTGCTGCTCAGACTTGATAAATGTCTGAACAAGGGTGGTTGGTAACTGAAGGGAAAAAAAATTCCTAATTTCTTTTTGGTGTAAAAATAACATTTGTTATGAAAAAAAATTATGTGAGTTTTTTAAAAATTATACTCATAGATATTGATGTTTGAATTATCCACTATTTGAAATACTGTGAACTGTCACTACAACAATATCTAATACAACAATAACACAATAACTTCCTCTACTACAATAATATTTTGTTGTCCTGATAAATCTGCAAAAGAGTTAATGTTGTTCTACGCCCTCAATATTGAAATATTCTCTAAAACAGTATACGCTGCGCAAAAGAATTTTTAGAAAAAAAGTTTTTGGATTTATTTTCTTTTTTATCTTAGATTTTATTTTCCAAATACTAAAAGAAATTCTTTTTTTTATTATCATCTTTTGCCATGTTTTCTATCTTTTTTGTCTAAATAAGACTGTTTGGAATTTTCCTTTTCACTAATATAAGATATCAGTACAACCTCATCCTTCACATAGATGGAGACTATCCAAAGCCCTTCCTTTTTAAAAATGCCTCCTTTATCGACCAGAAGTTGCAGATGTTTAATTCGATTCATATTTAAACCTAATCATGAGCCCCACACATCATGTTAAGGAATCAAATGCTTTTTTGATGTGAAGTTAGATGATTCAATGAAAACTCTTCAAGTTTGAAGCATGTTATTTTGTAACAATTTATTTTTTCCTAAGATGATAGGATGAAAGCAACTTTCCTTTAAAGAAATACTTAACATTACCAATGATATAATATTTATATATAAATGCATGTATGCATATATTAATGCTAAAAATTGAAAAGAAAAAAAAATCTTATTGTACTCTCCAGAATGTAGGCCCTCATTATAGCAATATATCTCTCTGCAGCAATATATTTATTTAATGACAAAAATAGTGTTCTAACATAGTTTTACTGTAGTCTATGCTTAGATTAAAATAATTTAATATACTTTTGTTATTTTTTGTTAGGATTTTTGCCAAGAGATACAGCTCACCATCACCAGAAGCATGTTCTGGATGTTTTACAAAAAGCAGTGGAAGAAGCACAGATTGAACCATCTGAAATTGATGTTGTTTGTTATACAAAAGGTATTATAATGATCTTCATTTTGTATTTAAGCCAGTTTCTTTTTTTTTTATTAAGTTTTTAAAATTAAAAAGATACTATTAAGGCTATTTTTATTGATCTTTTTGTTACTTCAAGATTAAAAATTTTATATAGATGTAGAAAAAAAAGCCAATATAGTAAAGGTATTATGTACAGAACTACAAATTCATTCCAACTACATTCTAAAAAATATCATTCAGTTTTATTTTTCTAATGAGAAGTTTTCTAAATTTATCATTCTCTTGCTTGCTTGAGATTTCCTTACCTATAATCTTTCTTTTTATTTAAAATCTCATTTTTTTCTGAGGTAATTATTTGATTGATACGCATACAATAATTCACTCATTTATATCACATCACTTTGCAGAAACTTTATTAAAAACAATAATATTTTTCGGGGTCACTACCGTATTTTTCGGCGGAAGAGCCGCGGCGCTATCGAAAAAAAAGTTTTTTTCCCCTACATGCGGCACTTTCGATGCAGCAGCGCTTACGACGAAATATTTTTTAGTAGCAAAAAAATTTGTCAAGGAAAGTTATTTAAGATGAAATCATTTTCTGAGAGAAAGACTATTACAAAAAAATTAATAACAAAGTCGACGAAATATTCGCCCGTATCGCGATCTGCTGCAGAACATCGCCAATTCTTAGCAAACTTTCGGCAGTAGCCTGTAGGAAAATAAATAAACGAAATAATAATTTAAAAAAAACATTGCATAAGTAGAAAATTTAAAAGGTATGCATCTTGTATCCACCCCCAGCTGAAGGAAAAATCGCAAGCTGGAAATCTATTTAGCGCCTAGGCAATTGTAATTTGAGCGAACAGAAAAGGAAGAATAGGACCCTAAATCCGACACTCACGGGACTGTCGAAATGCCGAACTTCGGATCTCTTTCGGAAATTCCAATATGGCCCCCAAATATTACTACTATAATTCAATTCCACTGTTAATTTCTGAAAAGTCAATAAATTTAGTCAAGTTTCGATCGTAGATTATGATGGGGTGAATTTAAAACTGGCCCATCTTAAGAGAAATTTTACTAATCAAAATAATAATCTATATAATATAATCAAGAAGAAATAATCAGAATCCCATGAAGAAGAAATAATCGTTTCTTCTCTGTAGCGAGATCATAGTTCTTGTTTTTTCTTTTAGATAACATTTTGTTTTAACAAAAGACGCTTACCTCGCAAGAAAGAAAAAAAAGCTAACAGGGAACTACAAAAAAAAAAAAAAATTTTTTTTTAGCACTTAATGCTAAGAAACTAACAATGAATAACAACAAAAAACAAGCTAAAAACTAATGAGGATAAAAAGAAACAAGCAAGCAACAATTAACAAGAAAAAATAAAAAGCGGCAAAATAAAAAAAATTAATGAATCGAATAAAAAACCGCAAAAGGGATAGAATTCATTTTGTTGTCCGCATGGTAGTTTCAATGTCAACTGGGTGAGGCCAATTTATGGTCAAACAGAGGAAGGAAATGTGGGGGCAAATCAGTAAAGCACAAGCATAGCTGTCAAGATTGATTGATCAGTTTTTTCCAACTTCCATTTCTTTATTTTGTTCATTGGAAATGCAGGTGTTTTTACTTCTCACTTCATTTTAAACTGTTTTGGAAACAGATGTTTCCTTTGACACAGATTTTTTTTTTCAAGCTTCTTTTTTATTTTTAAAAGATAAAATAAAGTAAGTTACTTCAACAGAATAAAATTCCAAATAAAAAGAATATAGCTGATTTTTTTTTTATCTTATCAATATAAATTTCTTAAAAAAAAAAGAAAAAAAGATTAGATCAGATTAAGTGCCGAATTTTGGAATGCTGGATTAGGGGTCCCATACCCTTTTCTTTTCCCCAACCCCTTTAAAATATAACTGATTGATTCCTCCTAAACAGCTCCAATAGAAATGACACGTGGAGGAGGTGGGTTACACCCCTCTTTTAAACATTTTCTTCTCTCTTTCTAAGTTGAGTCACATTGGGTTATTTCCATTGAAGGAGAGGGCATTCTACCCACTAAAATTCCACCCTCAAAGATTGCGAAAGTGAAACTTATTTCCCCTTCACTCATTCCTTCAGAATTTTTTTGGGGCCTGCTTAGTTATTTCTTATTCTTGTTATTATTACTTATTTCATTATTATTAGCTGTTTCATTATTATGTATTAGTTTTTCCTCAAATTGTTAACGGTAATAAATTTTAAAATCTTTCTTTTAATAAATTTTTATTTTATTTTTCTTGTTACATTGTTTTACGGATTTCTGTAATCAGTTCAGCCTTAATTCAGCTACTGAACATATAAATATTTTTTTGCTGTTCTTCTGTTTTTTGGAGTGGGGCCAAGTGGTAAGAACAACTTTATTTTATATAGTTTTTTTCTTCTTTTTTTTGCTGAAAGAGAACTTTTTTTGTTGCTTTTTTTTTGTTGCTGAAAAAGAAATTTTTTATTATAATTTAGAAATGAAAACTTTACTTTATGAAATGCATAAAAAAATGTAATTTTTTATTATACAGATATTCTAAATGGTAATTTAAAGGTCTCTTCTAAAAGGATGCTGATATGCGCGGTTTAGCGCCATTGTGGCGCTTACTATAACTTTTTTTAAAAAATTTCATTTTTATCGAGGTGCGGCGCTTGTGACGAAAAATACGGTAATGTCATGAAAATTGAGTAAACAACAAAAATAAAAAAAGGACAAGAAATGTAACAAAGTAAAAAAATAGTAAAAAATAGGTTTTTCATTTCTAAAATATTTTTTTATATTTGTACTTATGTTGGTTTAGTTCTGTGCTGTAGTTTTATATAATCTTGTTTAGGTCCTGGCATTGCAGCTCCTCTAATGTCTGTTGCTGTTGTTGCTCGCACAATTGCGCAACTTTGGAAAAAACCAATTATTGGTGTTAATCATTGTATTGGTCATATCCTTTTGTATTTTCTACTAAATTTTGTTATTTTAATATTATACACATTTGTATTTAAGGAAAGTATTTTTGAGAAATCTCATTTTATACTGGTGAAAGTGCAGTTTAGCGGGGGCACCAAATAATGAAGCTTGGCTTCAGCTGAAGTTTCTAATCTTGTACATATTGAGCTTTAGCATTAAATGCTCAATAATTATATACATAATATCTTATCATGCTCCATATTTTTTAATATCCTTAATTTTGTACAACATTTTCAGCTTACTGTGTTTGTTTTTACTTAATATTCCAATTTAGTTTTCTTAAAATTATCAATGATATGATAATTGAGGAAAAAGCTTTGGCCAAAGCCTTGTCCTTACCGAAGCTTCCTTCTATCTCTAGTTATAACCAATCATTATCTAGTTATAACCAATCAATAATATCATTAATTGAAGTCAGTTAGAATTGTTTCTGTTTAAAATTTTCTCCATTAGCTACATATTAGATTTATTGATGTAACGGAATTGTTTGAGCATACACATATAGCTGTAATTTTGGTATTATTTGATCAGACTATTGTACCAAATAATTCCAAAACTTATCCTTAAAACTTAACAGAATCTCCATATTACCGTCATAAAATGTAAAAGATGGCTTCCTTTTAATAAAAAGAAATAAATAAAAAAATGAAAGGAAAGAACGTGATTTCTAAAATAAAATATATTTTAAACTTTTGTGATTTTGGAATATATATGTTTTTTGTCTGATATATTATCCTTTTGAAATCTTGCTGAAGCCAATCATTATCGAATTTTTATTTATCAAATGAGAATAGATAATTCACGAGCATTTCTTCCCCCTCCTATGCAAGATAAAGGCATCTTTTGAATATAATTCAGCGAAAAGGAAAATCATTCTAAATCTTTTTCTGAAAAGGAAATCAAAATTTTTTACTTTCCAAAAGAAAAATCTTTCTACAAGAATTCTGTAACATACTGCGACAATGTTGCTGTGTTGTCACGATTTTGCCTCAGGGTTTACCAGTTGCAATGGATTTTTCAGTTACCTGCCATTAGAGGAACAAAAAATATTTCATGATACTAAAACAGATAGTTTTAATTACAATTGTTTATTGATCATTAAATAGAGTTTATTTAATCAAAAAAATTTATAAATTGAGATTGAATAAAGCACTCCTCTTTTATTCGAATAACCCTCTTAATTGAAAAGAGTTGGTGCGAAACAACCTTTAAGCTGAATCAAACTGTATACATTTTTTTCTAAATATAAAGGAGGAAATGTTTTGGAGATTTTTTTCTTCATGTATTGAAAGAGTATAATTTAATTATTTAATTGTTCCTTATTAATTTATCTTTTAGGATTTGTGTATTAAAAAAGCATTTTTGTTATGACACCTTAATTTCATTGATAACAAATATCGAAATGGGACGCCTTGTTACTGGTGCTGATAATCCTACTGTCTTGTATGTCAGTGGTGGAAATACTCAGGTAATTTTTGTTAACATGTGGATATTTAAGTTATTTCAATCTTTTCATTTACAGTACAAAGTCTGATACTCAGATGTCCAGACACACAAATGAGCTAAACTCTTTTTTTGTTCTTTCCAAAAATAGTTTTTTTTNTTTTTTTTTTTTTTTTTTTTTTTTTTTTTTTTTTTTTTTTTTTTACAATTCGTTCTAAAATCTTATGTACGAGAAAAAAAATCTTTCCTCTTGTTGCGTTTTGGGTAGTCAATCATCTAAACTTTGATGTGCACCCTTAAAGAGTTGTTGAAACTTCTGTGGGAGAATGAGTTATGCATATTTATAAAACTGAATGTCAGTAATGTTCTGAAATTTTAATAAAATTTTTTAATGGTATTTGTAAACGTAAGAATAATAATGATTAGATTTGTACTTATTATAATGTAAAAGATGAAAGTAATATATGAAAAAAATTATATTAAAGTATTTTATATGGCAATTTTAGATATTTTTAGTTTAGAATTAAAATGTGGAATGTCACATTTCATGTGTTACAATTTTACAAACCGCCTCCATCTCTAAGGGTAACATCATTTACGGCCATAAAAAAAAAAGCTATCAAAGCAGGAATTAATTTTAATGCAGCTCAACCTTAAAAACAAAGAAAGAGCTGCAAACTTTTTATTTTTTTTAATCCTTAATGGTCCAAAAGTATTTTAAATTCACTTCCCACCTGGTAATAAAATTAATAGTAAATATGACGAACATAAGAGCAATCATAAAATCATTTTTGCAGTCAGAGATGCAGCATTTGTAACAGTAATTAAAAGTGTCATGTCGATTGTATGGTTTTAATTGTTGAAACTCTAAATCATTCTGTTAATTTTATTTATCATTTTTAAAAAAAAAGGTCTCTTAATCCAGTTTTTAGTCTTTTCAGTACCCTATCAGTACTTTTAATGCGAAATCTGTAATCAAAAGTACTGAATAAAAAAATTATAAACTTTTATTTCAGGGATGAGATTTTTCCGCCTTTTGCCAGATTTCCGGCTTTTTATATTTTTTATGTCAAATTTTCCGCCTTTTTCAAGTCAAAGTTTCATAAGTCTTTCATTTTTCCAACATGAACCTGCTTTCCTACGAAAACTACTTTTTCTTGCTTTCAGTATGGTGTCACCTTTTTTGTAGCCAATAAGATCGCATGTCTTCTACCAATGAAAACACACCTTTTCTTCCCCCCCACCTTGCTTCAACTATTTCCTCAACCTAAGGGGTTTAATTTTGATGGGAGCATCTTTCGTATCTTTTACATGTAATTTTTTTCCCTTTTGACAAATTTTGAATTTTCATCCTTTTTGCTTTATGACCATTCTCATCCCTGTTATTTATTTATTTATTTTTGTTCTTTTTTTTACAGATTTAAAAAACTGATAAAATTTATTTATTTAAAAAACTTTTTTGCATGGACTGAATTTGCTTTGAATGTCTCAAATATTAGCTTAAAATAAAATTGTGCTCAGCAGAGAATTGAAAATTAGTTTTAAAATAGGAAATTTTTGTATCAATAAAACTGGAATTAAGTTTGCAATTAAATTTTGTTTAGATAATAGCTTATAATGAAAGACGGTATAGGATATTTGGTGAAACAATAGACATAGCTGTCGGTAACTGCCTGGATAGATTTGCCAGAGCCTTGAAGGTAACACTAAATTTATTTTATGCAAGTTGAATTGATTTTTTTTTATAACTAACTGATTTGATTTTTATTTCAGCTATCTAATGATCCTAGTCCTGGTTATAACATTGAGCAATTAGCTAAAAAGTAAATGTTTTTTCCATACTTTTTCTAAATTTTTCTTAAACTTATTGTTCATTTTAAAATCAAAGCCGCATTGATCATCATTATTGATATCATCATCTATTCTTTTATTATTCTTATCTATAGGAGTTATTTTTTAACCATTTCTGAAACGTAATTAGTATTCTAGTTTATTTTTAAACTTTCTCTGAATTTCGAAATAGCAAACAATAATTTTTAAAAATGCAACCATGAAATTTCATGTTTGGAATTTTATTCAAGTTGCTTAATTCCTAACTATTCTGTGACTTGAAAGCCTTATTGACATAAGTCTGTTACAGCATCATGTACTTTAGTTTTGTAATTGAATTTTATTAAACCATTTTTCTTTAAAGCGTAACTGAAAATTTTGTCTATTGGTAAATTTCTTCTCTATTGATAGTTTTTATATTGAAATTAATTTTTATCTTTCTTGACTTGGTAGTTGAAATGTTTAACTCAAACTTCAGACTTTTACTAGATGTGTGCAGGTCTGCGAAAGTGGCACCAACATCACATTAATACTACATACCTCAGGACCAGTGGTTGGAAAAACTACATTATTTTTGTAGTTTACTGCAACTACTTCGTTACAAATGTAGTTATATACATCTACAACTACCTTTCTTTTTAAATGTAGTGACTACGAACTACTTTGGAATTGTGGTAACTACTTCGCAGTTTGTTACATGTGCCAGTTTATTATTCCAAAACATTTCTTTAGAATTTGTTCATTTAACCTTCAATTTTTTATGCCTTTTTTGACAGTAAATATTGGTTGGTTCTAATGCCACTTGCCACACGGGCAAGCCTGCTTGGTGAAACCAAGCAAATTTAAGGCAGAGTGTGCGATTCTTGTTTTTTCTATGGCGCTATCTATGACCAAGAATTCGATTTGTGCCACATCATACACACCTGTTTATAACCCATTCATTCATCCACAGATCGTAATTTTGACGTGCATCAGAGAACGATCAATCTCCAATCCAGTACCGCCAGAGGTATTGATTTGTTATAGGAACATGGAGGACTTTGCGACTCGACGGGATCTTAACCTGCATCAGTCACCAACTACACAGGGAGTCTTCAGCTGGCAGGGTTCAAACCCACAAACTCTCGGACATAGGCCCAGCGCCCTACCAACCAGGCTATCCCGACCCTTAAAATATTTCCTTTAAGAAATGCAAAAATATCAAATACTTTCAATTTTTAATTGTTTAATACTCTTTTAGAAATTAAGTGCAGTAAAGTATGTTTCCTTCCTTTTAAGTACGATCAATGTTTAGGAATGTGCATTCGCATATTAAATATGACCTAAGTGATTGTCTATTTTTGGTAATAGCTAGTTTAAATATTAGTTATACGTGATTTTAAGTACTTAATTTCTGTTAATGCTCAACTACAGGGTCATTTTCATTGCATCCATAGGTACCATTTGTACCCATCAAATTAGTTGTATTAGAACCGTGTTTCTTTTCTAAACTAACGTTAAAAGTAGTTGGCATGCCTGTTACAAACTACTGTTTTTATGGTATTGCACTACTCACTACACTACTTTTAAAAAAAAGTAGCGCACTACTCTACAAACTACGAAAAAAGTATCAACTATAGTAGTTTTACTACTTGTTGTGCGCTACTTTCAACCACTGCTCAGGACTCCCTTACTCTGTACCAGACCAGTCTCGATACTTTTGGCAAAATTGTGTATAACAGTTTAAGAAGTATGTTTCATGATCATGTGCACTTGAGCCTATACAAACATCTTATTACAAGAAATTACTTTGGTGAACATTCATGAACTATAAAACTGATACAAATTATACACTAAACTCATTCACTTTTTAACTATCTTTGGAACTTAGCTGAATAAATTTGAAGCTATGTGTCTTTTCAATAGATCAATCAAGCATAGATTCAAAAACGTTTAGATTTAAAAAAATTCTTATTGAGTTCAATTACAGTAAGATGGATTTAAAATCATCACAAACCAATTTATTTGCTGGATAAAACTAAAAAGTAGTTCGAAGATTCTTGGTTCTTTAAGTTTTCAATTTCTATGTTTAGACATTCTGTTTGTAAGTATTATTTCATGCATTTTTATGTTTTGTATGTACGCTGATTGTCGCCAATGCTAAACAAAAGGAAAATAATTTTTGTTGGAGATGTCTTCTTAGAATTCTTCAGATTATAAGCTTACTGACCTGTCTTAAACCACTTTTAATTTAAAGCGAATTCAAATTTATTTAATATTTTTTAATTATTTACTGAATTATTTATTTTTAGTGGGAAAAACTATTTGCCTCTGCCATACGTTGTAAAGGGCATGGACGTGTCTTTCTCTGGTTTATTATCTTATATTGAGGTACATTTATTTGTAAATTTTTGATAAAAAGATTTTGTGGTAATTAATTTTATTATTTTTTTAAGGTGGCTGAAGAGCAACATTTAAAAAAAAATCATTAATATTAAACTTTACATTTAAAAATATTTAGTTATTGTTGATAAATTATGAGAGCTTAGCTATATTATTGGTATGCTAAAAAATTCAATATTCTTATTATATTGTTTATTTATATTGGTTATTGTTATATTCAGTACAATATCCCAGGACCTCGGCTGGTTCGGAAAACAGATTGTCTAACAAAAATCAAAACTTACTTCAATGCTTTGTTTCTGAACTGTAAGCTATCTGTTTAGGTCAATATAGTGTAAAACATTGGGCAAAGGGGTGAAGTATATGATTTTGCAATAAAGGGGTGTCCGAAACATTGAGAAAAAAATGGTACATTATTAATGGCTCCCCCTTAATGGTGGCACTGCTTTCACAACTATAATTGTCAAAGCTATCGCAAATGTTTACTTTTCATTTCGATAACATTAGGAATGTAGTATCAATTTATTTTGTAATTAATTTTAATTATTTCTTAGTGCTTCCTGCGCTGCTTACTCTTGTAATAAACATCCATGTGTCTGAAAGTCCTATTGTTTTAACGCAGTACTCATCAACGCAGTTTCATCACTGCAGTCTAGTCAACACTTGATAAATTTTTCTCCGCCTTGCTGGGGGGGGGGGCATTAATTCTGTTTATAATTTGAATTATTTTGATTTAATAATTTTAATTTAATTGTGTTTAAATATGCTTAAACATGCCTTTAAAATAAAATACAATTGCTTGTGTGATATTGATGCGGCTTTAGGCAACGTCTCTCAGCTCCCGGGTAACCTCTCGTCCATGGAAAGTGGTACAAACCCGAGAGAAATACACTACAGTTAATAAAAATTAATAAAATGGACGTTTGTATGATCTGGTACCATTTGAGCCATGAACCCGCATCCATCAGTGGCACGGGGCCAGACGGACCACTGTTTTAACACACTGATTTTTTGACGTTTTTACTGCTTTTAAATGTTTACGTTTTTTTTCTATACATCCAATATCCTGTAATCAGAATACTGTAGCATAAATAAACTCCTCCTTTATTTTAAATAAGTGTGTAATGGAAATCAGAGAGTTATTTTTTTCAAAGTGCAGGGCTCTTGGTAGATAGAAAATAGAGTGACGTTGTTTTACATTCTGAATGTTAATGCAGAATTACTTCTAGGTTAATTTGTTATTTCTGTGGAGAAACCAATGTTTAGTTTATGTGTATTATTTATTAGCTAAACTCATTAATATAAAAGTTTGCTCTATTGTAATTTGTAGGAGCGTGTTGATTCTTTCTTGTCAGATGGCCAGTATACAAAAGAGGATTTATGTTTCTCTTTGCAAGAAACAGTTTTTGCCATGTTGGTAGAAACAACAGGTAATACTTAGAATTCAATTTTAAACAATTCTGGTGCACATGTTTTACATGTGCATAACGCAGCATAAATATTTCAAATTTAGTGAGTAAAGTGGCTTTTTAAGTTTTTCTGTGAATATTAATTTTTTGAAAAAGGCCAGAATATATCCCATTCCCATATGAATGGATCAATTTTTAATTAAACCACTAATAAATTATATTCACATCTCCACAAATATTTACACTAAGTTCATGAAGTTTTATGTAGCTATTAAAAATAACAACATTAGTAATCGATGCAAGAAGCTTATTGCTTGATTTTCTGGCATAAGGTTTTCAAAAATACTTGTTTTCTATCATAATTTATTGTAGGTCTCCTAAACCTCTGAAAGCTTTAAATCTTACTGCTAAGTATGAAAAATCACACGAATTAAACGCCTCTAAAGTTGCAACATAATATTTTTAGTATTTCTTGAGAAATTTTAAAAAATGTCAAAAACGAAAAGTATCTCTTCCATTAGTCTAGGGTAGTTTGTATATATATATATAATACAGGTGAATCTATATTTAGTGAAAATTGAATATCTTTACATATATAGCTGGCAACTTTTATGAATTTTGTAAAAAATTTTGTTTTTGCATTTAAATTGGTAGTAAAATTTATACTTCCTATTTCTTTCTTCGATTTATTAAGTTTATTTAAAATGATTTTGACTACCACTGCATATAAATGGATTAATATTTATTAAAGTGTAAAATAATTATGGAATGTTATTTTCGAACTCTGATCCAAATAAGACAGGTATTATTGTTTATACTAGTAATTCAACAAAAAAATTTTTTGCTACCATTGTGAAAATTCTCTTGGAAGACACTAAGAGTTGGCAGGTATGTCATATAGATATTTTTCTTGTAAAAAAAGCAGCTTTTGAAAAATTGTTCCCTTTTTTCTAGAAAAATCCCTTTTTTCAAAATGTTTGGTCACTTATTTTGAAGATTATAGGTGATTAACGCCCTGGCTTTTGTATTTATTACTAATTGTAATAAAAATGGATTAGTAATAAACTACATAATTAACAACTACATAAAGTCAGTTTATTACTAAACATGGCATTTATGCAGTTGTGACCAAGTTCAGAACTGAATTATAAAAATGCCCTACTTATTATATTTTAATTAGAAGTGACTGATAATTTGGAAGTCGCTTGATTGCATAACATTAATATTCAACATAATTTTCAATTCTCAAATGATAACTTTCTGCAAAATCTTGATAGATTCCTCTCATTCTTTTTGTAGTTAAGATGTTTATGTATATATTGGATAATAAGCAGTGAAAAATAATAGAATCTATTAAGATTTGCAATTTTATGGAAGTTCTGCATTTAAGAAATGACAACCCTAAATCTTCAGATTAGAATTTTTTACTTACTTAAGTGGTATTTATTAAAAAATATGTTTATTCTAGAACGTGCGATGGCCCATTGTGGTTCACAGGAAGTCCTGTTAGTTGGTGGAGTAGCTTGTAAGTTGTTTGTTTTATATTTGCATCTATTGTTCAAGATAATACTTTCTTTATGAATAACAAAAAATAATTTACTCCTCTATTCATTTTAAAAATCAATGCTTTTATTTGAAATTTTTAATAATTTTTTGAAATTTTTACAAATTTTTAGTAGTTTTTAATATCTTTTAGTTCTCAAAACTCAGTGTTATTTTTTTTTTACCTTATAATTTTTCCTTTAAAATTTTTTTAATATTTTATTGCAAATGGAAATTTTTTATTCTTCTGTTGGCGATATTATCACATGAATCAACTATCATTGGTTCATCATCAATCTGCTTACTGCAATTTTCTTTCTCTTTTTATTGAAGATTTTATTGGTTGGACATTTGTTACATTTATTTTATCACGGCCATTAACCCTTTGATGCAGCCTGGTAGTGAAATCTGAACTTAGAGCAATAAAGATGAAATTTTTTTTAACCAATTCAATTAAACAATTCACAGTAAAAAAATTTAAGGAAAAAAATATTGATTCATAACATTAGGGCTATATAGAAAGAATGAATAAAAAGAAACATCTTAAATTGCAAACCTATAAAGTCAAGATTCAGTGGGAAACCTAAAAAGAGATTGATGTAGCAAAATATCTAACTACAATGATAATTTCAAACTGGCAATTTACGACTAAAAGATTTGTAAGGAATAGGAATGTAAAGTTATGTTCAGTAAGGCAAGGCCCCCAATGGGCTGTAATGCATAAGGAAAAAAAAATTAACCCTCCAAGTGTTGATTCCCTGGGTAAAATTGTACTGAAATTACTGTCCCACTTGTAATTGTGTTGCATTACTGTCCCACTGAATGACAGGATAGCAGATTTTTTGACAAAGAAAAGACTACACCTAAAATTTTGAAAAAAAAATCATAGTTAACACTCAGTGGATTGAATGAAAGTTACAGGTAATTGATACTAGTAAGGAATAAACACTGCTTTGGAAAAAAAGTTTCATAATTCATTGTAAACTTTTAATCTCATTTTCTCAAATAGGGTGCGTAACGTTTTTAAAAAGTACTTAAAGGTGCATATTTTTGATTTTTGTTTTTTAAAAGCTGTGAAAGGTGCTTTTTTCATTGGGTGTTTTTATAAAATCCTTAATGTTCCCTTTTTCAAAATGAGATATTTTTTTATCATGTCAGTTTTTGCCACCAATTATGCAAAAGGCGTTTTCACACTATTGTATTCAATGTTTCTACAATTCATTCAATCACAATAATATTATTAGGATAAGCGCACTTATAAAAAGATTTTCTTCCTATTATTGAAATTAGAATACAATAATAGAAAAAAAAATATTTTTTTTTACATATCCTAATTATATTTGGAGAGATTTCCGTATTGTGATATGTGGCAAAATAATCACCAAGTCTTGGCAACTTCCAAGCAGCAGCGTGCAATAAACTAAAAACAACATCACATAAAGGAACCAACTTGAAAGGTATAACTAGTAGCCACTCCCGGGCAAAAATCTCCATATTATTATTTTTTTCTCTTTAATTTGTAAGTTTAAAATCTATTTTACACCTTGTCAATTGTAGTTAGCGTGACAGATCAAGATACAGAAATATTTCCTCTTTTTTTATTTTTAAGCAGAGTTTAAGAATATTTTTTGAGTGCTTGAAAAGTGCTTAAGAGGTGCTTATTTCTTGTTTAAAAAATTGGCTATGCACCCTGTCAAAACTGTATTTGTGTATAAATAAAAAATACTTAATGTTTTGAACCCATTTTTTTTAATTTGTTAGTCTGAAATCACTGACACTGGTAGATTTTATTATTCTATTTGGCATTAAATATTATTATTGAGATCTGTTTTCTGTCGAGATCAGCTGGTTTTGAGAATAACAAATTAATGCTCTACCAATATGACAAACCAACTTGTATTTTATCTTTTGAAGTTGTCCTAAATGGTACCATTTTTGTACGAGATAAAATTCCTTATGAAAAAGAATTTTTTTAGGCAATGAGAGGTTGCAAGAAATGATGGGGATAATGGCTGAAGAAAGAGGAGCCAAACTATATGCAACTGATGAAAGGTATGCACTGTGCTATTGGTCAGTTGGAGCATTTTTGACAGTGGTCACTTTTTAAAAAAATGTGAAAGTTTTTAATGATTTATTTATTTATCTTTTATCTTTTTATTTATCTTTTATTATTTGTCTTTTGAAATACAGTAGAATCTCAATTAACTGAGCTTCAGTTAATCGATAGCCGATAACGAAGTCTGTTTTTCTTTCTGAATGAGCCCTAAAAAAACCCACACTTTTTAGTTTGCTGTCCAGCTCTACTGCCCCCCAAAACACTAAACTTCCAAGAAATATTACACCCTGAGAAGTTAACAGCATGGAGCAATGCTTTGTTTCCAGTAACCCTATTGTACACCAGGTGCTAATGTGTTATTGGACTGTAATTTTGTAGCAAAAGGTAGCAAAATATTTAAAAAAATGGGAATTTAAAATCAACAAATTAATGTATATTAAATTTAAAAAATACAATAATTTCTTCTGTTATTTTTGAAAATGCATCTTTTAATTTAATTTTAAAAATAGTTAAAAAAATTCTATTTGCTTTTTAAAATTTACTACAAGTAGTTGATTTCCTTTTAAAATTGTTTGAGCTGTGAATTATAATTTTATATATGCTTATTTTTATCATTTGAAAAACATTCTGTTTCTTATTTCAAAAGATGTTAAATTTGCGAGCGAGGTGAGTTTTTAAACGCAGTTTGTATTAACCGAAATGTTCGATATCCCAGATACTAGCGGTCCCAATTAGCTTGGATAATCCAGGTTCTACTGTATTTCTCAAAGCATGGTAAGCATTACAACGTTCATTACTAAAATGAAAAAACATTTTAAGAAACAAACATGAAATAAAGGAAGTTTCAAATTATTAAATATTTAAATAATTCCATATATATTAAAAAAATAATAATAAAATGCACATGGGGGTGCATTTCAAGAGCAAAAAAATGTCAATCAGGTGACAATCGGCTTACAATTTTTTAATCACCACTTGTAATATTTAGTCGCCTGGTGGTGACCATTAATTTTGCCCTGTAATGCACTGCATCTTTTTTCCCCCTCACTACTTGGGGGGTTTCAAGCTTAGATGAAAATGCAGTTTTGTTTATTTCCTAAGCAAATATCTTTTAGAATAAATGAGATACATATTAATGCATAGTTATTATATAAGCTGCTATAGTCTTGGCAATATTTTGATACAGGTCTCCAGATTTATGTACTGCAAAAGCTATGGGGAAAAAAAATTCAATCCTCCTTCATAACTTTTGATGTCATGTTTGGATTTTCTCTCATTAAAATTCAATCCTAAAGATTCAAATGCTAAACTTTTAAGTGTTTTATCAGGTTAGGCTGCCTACTGTTTATTTATTTAATTTAAGCATGTTTTTTCTCTCAATAAGTTCGAATTTTATTTGTGAAATTTGATCGTTATTTGGTGTCAATTATTTTGTTTGGAGAGTGGTCATAAACTTGCCCCCCCCTAAAATGTTTATTTTTCATGCTTTAATATCTTATCTCTGGGATTAATTGATGCAAGAAAATGCTTATACCTATTGATGAAACATGTTTTTCAATATAATTGTGTGATAAACATAAATTAAAGAAAATTATTAATTAATAATTATTATTCGTAATTGTTAAACAGATTTTGACATCTTCTAGAACATTTACACTCATTACATTACTTTTAATTATAAAATTTGAATATTAACAGTCGCAATTTGTCCTAAGGTAAGGTAAGGGAAAAGTTTCTTTGGATGCTTTTGATTCTTTATCAGACTCAAAGAAAACTTTTTAAACTCTACAGATCTAAATGCAAAGCCTAAATACCATTAACTGCTGACTCTTATTTTATTTTTATATGAAATTATAAAATATAATTTAAAATTAAAAATTATTTTCAAATAATTATTGTAAAATGCAAGTAAATGAAACATATACTTAAAATTAATAAATTGAATTAAAAAAAATTTCTTGCTGCATTATTTAATTACTTAAATGTAAAGTAATTAATGAAGTTTTTTAGTTTATGGCACTTTATTCATTAAATTTTGCCATTAGTTACTCTAGTCTAATCAGGTGTGATATCAGATGTAATGTGTTGTCCTGACTTTTTTAAATTAGAAATTAGGTTTTAATTTAATGTAATTTTCATTTTCTAGTGCATGTTTTAGATTACTTTCTGTGTGGAAGAAATTTATGACAGACCCTAATGTAACTTTGATGCTAAATACTCTAGATAATAGTTATAATTAATGATTACACATTTTTTAAAACTAGCATTGATTATTAAATTGGCAGCAATATTAATCGTGAAATTATGCTGTGTTCATTCAAAGCTATGGATTTTGAATGTAGTATTTTAACTAAAATTTTTATAAATAATAAACTAAAGTGTAGTTTAGTGAGGAGAAATGGGCTATAGATTTATTGCACTCCAAAAGATGTACAAGTTATTACAAAAAGTAGAATAGGAATTGTAGTTTTAATATATTTTTGAATCACAAAAAGTTTCCAATCTTGACTGTCATTGTAGTTCATATGTTGACTTAGGAGCACTGCTTTATTTTATGATAGAATATTCACCAAGATTGAGTGAAGATAGTTTTTTATCACCAGTAAACCACACATTTTTATACTTCGGTAAGAAAAATAACATTTGAAATTTTTTTGTCATTTCCATGAATTTTGATTTTGGTCACTTTAAAAGGATGCTATATCATGGGAGAAACTTTTTGCATTAAATTTCTTTCACCGACATATGTAATTTTAAAACTTATGTTTAGGAAAAAGTGAATTCTGATTTACTTAGAGTAAGCCATAAAGTTTCAGGATTACATTTTGGCAAAGCTCTCCTCCCATAATTTGTTTGTATTTCGATATTTTGAAAATAATTTTTGTTGTTGTTTGAAACTCCATGGCTTACTCTAGGTATGTTGGAATTTACTTTTCTCTAAACTTTATATTTTAATACACCAATGGAGATTAAACAAAATTTCGATGAAAAGTTTCTCTCACTTTATAGAGTCTTCTAATACAAACTTGGATACTTTGAGACAACATAAATGTCCTGCATAGAAGCAATTGGGGCATCCAAAACCTTGATGCTGTGTTTAGTATTTTGTAAAAGTCTTAAATTGTTAACAGTCCAACTTATAACAGATGATGCATGACCTCTTCTGTTTCGACTTAATGAATTCTAATGTTTGTTTTAACATGTCTATATGTGTAAGATTCACTCTCTTTCCGTAGATTCTGTATTGATAATGGTGCAATGATTGCCCAGGCTGGTTGGGAAATGTACCGTTCTGGGCAGGTGACAGATTTTGAAGACACGACCGTCACACAAAGGTATGCATATTATTACAATACAATGGCTTTTTGTGAAATAGTGACGAGTCATATAATAGTTACAGTCTATATAATGAAGCCAATGCCAGTAAACCATAAAAATTTTATTTAGAGAAGTAGTGCAGGGTTCCAACGGGTCATGGAGATCAGGGAAAACCTGGAATTGTATTCTAACTCTAAAAAACAGAATTGTCAGGGAAAGTTGCAATTTTTTACAAAAAACCTGGTAAATTCCTATATCATGACTGGAAAATAGCCAGTCTTTTAATTGTAAATAACAGTAATAAGTTATTACAATTCAAGTTAAATAATTCTAACATCTATTGCAATTATTTTATAAAATTCTGCTTTGTAGTGAAACTTTTCCATATTTCCAAGTTTTCTGATGAAAAATTTTATGTGGTAACTTAAATAAAGTATGAATTTTATTGAAATTTACCTGATGTATACCTGGAAAAGTTAGGGAATTTTTTTCTGAAATTGAGAGGTGACCCTGTAGTGACAAGCCTGAAATGTAGTTTCTAGTGTGACAATAATGATTGGGGCACATTTCACAGGGGTTGTGATCATCTTACAAACTATGACAAAGGATAGTATAACAGCTATTAATCTATTACTATTTATTATCAAAGGGCTACTCCTTTCTGGAGCTGGGTTTGATATTTGGAAACACTGACCAAACTCAAAAGGCAGACTTTTTTGTGGAGTTATTCTGTTGCAGGACAACACTGGAGCACAACACAGTGAAAGAGCTTCTGCAGAAATTCCTACTGTTTTACTTATTGCACACTTGGGAATTTAAATAAGTTAGAAACCAAAAACAAGCAAGACAAAATTTTAAAGATATGTATGTTAGCGAAAACAGCACTTCATCACTGTCTGCTAAAATTTTTGGAGCCTTTCTGTAGTCAGTGGTTAAACCAAAAACTGACTGTGCCCTGAAGATAAACTAAGTAAGAAAATGCAATCAAAATATCAAGTATTGAAACAAAAGATTAAAATTCAATGATACAAAAAAAAAAAGTCAAAAGTACACTGAGAAAATACTAATATCACATTTGCATTAAACGTCCCCTGATGAAGTGCTGCTTTTGCTAACGTACACATCTTTAAAATTTTGTCTTGCTTGGTATTGGTTTCGAACTTTTTATTTAAATTGTTTACATAAGACGAATTTGGTTTTAGCGCTTTTACATTTTGACTTATTATTTTAAAGTATTTTTCTTTAAGTTTTTTCTTAAAATTTGCTTTAATCAATTTCATACTTTGATTGGATACTTGGGAATTTCTTACGCTAAATAATAGACAGACTTAAAAAGAAAAGTTACTTCATTTATAATTGTCAATTTGAAAATGTTTATGTATCCAAACTTTTTAATGAGAGTTATTTTTTTAAATAATTTCAAAAATTTTTATTTTTTGTAAAATTTAGAATCTCTATTCAAGAGAATATATTTTTAAATCTATGTTATAAATATTTAAAATTGATTTAAGTGTCCTTTACTATTTAAAAAAAGTTTAAGGATGTAATGAACATAAAAATGCAGGTTGCGTAGCATTTTATAAAAGTACCTAAAGGTGCTTATTTTTGATTTTCATTTTTTAAAAGTCCTTAAAGGTGCTTTTTTCATTGGAAGTTTTTAAAAAGTGCTTAATTTTACGTTTTCCAAAATGAGATATTTTTTCTCTACCATGTTGATTTTTGCCACGATTTATGCAAGAAGACATTGTTCACATTGTTATGCAAGGTTTTCTCAGTTAATTTAACCACAATCTATTTGTCAGTCTGTAGCGCATGAAAGCGCCATTCATTTCACATGTTTCACAAAATACTTGTAGGTTCGCATGTGCATATACTGAGCTGGATTCATTGGCAAGAACTTTTGCCCTCTCGCGTGCAACTCTGCTGTATTTTGTATGAGATTCATAACTTTAGCCTTTATTTGCCATCCTCTTAAATTGAACCGAAAAATCTCTTGAATTTTCGCTGATTACGGGGACCAACAAAACATTGTCAAATTATTTTCCCTAATTGTGTTAGAAAATTTTAATTTCTGGTTGAATTCATCGCTAGTGACATGCGATTGTTTTCGTCACTGCCAAGCTAATGGCCTTCTCGCGATATTCTGTTAATAGATCAGTACCATCAGCATTGAATCGGACTTGGGGATCATTCAATAATGTGATGCCACACTTGGCATTACATATTTATTTCCTATCTTTTAAAATATCTTTCATTACTTAAGCTGATTTTTATTAATAGAATTATATTTAAAATAAATCAAAGACTTAATCTTTTAAAACTAACATAAAATATTTATTTCTTCTTGTATAGATCAATGTAACGGATACTTTTTATTTCATTACTAATGCAGACTTATTAATTCACTGTCGCCTCTAATCGAAAACAAAAAAACTATTAATAACTTTTTATTCTAATTTCCAGCCGCTAAATGTTTCGGTTGCATGGTTGCAATAATTCTCATAAATTTGTTGGCCACTTGTGATCGCCAAGCCCAATATTGTTATGCTGGTTGGCTATGTTGTATTTCGATAAATTGCCAATTTTGGATCTCTTACCCATACTTTCTATGTCCGTTAGGAATAATTATATTCATTTTTAATTTCAAATTTGTGGAGACTGGGAGTGCCCTTACGGGCCTCCCCAGTCTCAATTTCTAACCGTCAGAAATGATATTTTGGCTGTATGATCTCTCAATAAGAGGGCATTCTGATTTCATCCCTTTGTGGCATTTCTTTTTTTTTTTGGATGAAGAAATGGCCATTCTCTATATCACCAATTATGCTTAATAAAATCTAAATTTCACTAAACAATTTGTATATTCTTTCCTGGAGACTGTATAAAGTTATTTTCCACTATACGAATATCGGCGGCGACTGACGGAGAACAAACCTCCGCCATAACTAAGTATGTTAATTCACCTCATCATTTACATCAATATTCAATAGCACTTTCGATAGCTTTTAGTCCATCTGTATGAGAGATTTTTATATGCTTTGATTTTTATCCCCACTGTCTTCATCATCTTCGCTGGATTCATTATTGACAATATTATTGATCATTTCATCGCTAATCTCGTGTTGTCCATCAACTTGTTTTCTTGAGTGTTTGGAAGATAAAATTCAGAATTTTTTTCGGTAGCAGTTTTAAAAATAAAAAATAAACTAGAACAAAAAAATTCTCTAAATATTTGATAGCTCAGTTAGAGCGGAAATTTGGATAATCGGGACTCAGCTGTATTTTCAGTTTTATATGATTTGCAGCTTTATCATTGGTTATAATAACTTTCATTTGTTTACTTTCCTAATCATTTTTTATAATTAATTATGTGTTTATATGCATTTATTAATATAAAAACACCCATTTAAGCTCTTGTAAATAAGTCCAGTTTGTCTGATTTTTTCCAGGTATCGTACAGATGAAGTTGAAGTAACTTGGAGATCTTGACACTTTCAAATTGAATGACAAAATTGTATTATTTTAATTAAATATTTTTTAATATTGTGACCCAACCCTGTTTTCTTGACTGTATTTGCAATAGTATGTTTATTATGCTGATTCAGCATTATTAATAATCAAGCTCAAGTTTTTGTTCTCATATTTTTTTAATAAATAAAATTTAGATATTATAAAAAATCTTGTTAAATAATTCGTTTAATAATGATTTATATATACATTATCTTCTTTTACCAAAATTAAAAATAATATATTCAGAATGTTTTTTATAAAATTATTTACTTGCAAAAATTTTGTCATGAGAAATATTTGACATTTTTATTACACAATTAAATGGGTGTTGCTCCAGTTGATCTGGTCAAACGGCATGTGTGCCGTGTGTTCAGGCAGCGGTCCTCTTGGGGGGATTGTTGTGACAGCTAGTTGTCTTATCCGAATAATCAATTGATTGGCTGGTCAAAGTAACCTTATTACTTACACAATTAAATGGAAAGTAGATTAGAGTGAATCAGCAAAAGGCAGGCAGATACATCTTTTCTTTAAAGATCAAACACTAACTCGGCTGCAGTCAAACTTCTATTTAAATCAATTCTTAACGGGTCACAGGGTTTTGGGAACGTATCAACAGAAATTCTTCAATAAACAAGAAACCTTTAAATTTTGTGGGAAATTGCAAGACATCGACGATCTTATTAAATTTTGTCCCAAATTCCAGACACTCCGTTGCAGAAAATGGGACCAATATACTCAACATCAACTTAATGCTGATATTGACTGCAGGAGAAAAATTCTTAAATGTACCTTAGAAGATCTGCTTTCCCGCTGAGAGTACACCTGACTAATTTTATCTGATTGTCAACTTTTGGCTTTTAGATTTCCTGGTTTTAATATTTGCCTTTTAGTATTTTACCTTTTTCTACTGTGCTCTGGTGACTTTGTCCTATTCTTGAACTAAAATACCCATCATACATTAGACATTCGAACTGAATTTTTGGATCTTAGTGAACTTCAGCCCCCTCAGTTTTGCCTGGTGTCCTTTTTGAATTTTTATCTTATTAAGAAAAACTTAGATATACCTTAGAACATTTTTAATCCTAGTGGCACTTTGCCTTGAACTTTTAGTCGACTATTTTAATAATTTTATTAATCTTATTTTTGATCTTATATGTTTTTAATGTGATTTATCTTATTTTTACCATTTGATGTTTTACCTGACCTTACTCTTTATAAGTTTTAGTACTGCATTTTTGACACTTTTTGGTTAATTCCACACTCTGTTAGATGTTTTAAGCGCTTTTGACTTGTTTTTAAAAATTCTGATTCTTTTCAAGATCCCTTTTATCTCTTATTTTAAGCCTGACACTTGGACTGATTGCTGTTCCGGGGCCTTTCCCTTCCAGAGAGTCATGGGTGACCTCTTTTGCGATAGCCATGCACTTTGATGTCTTGCTCTGAAATTTTATATTGGTTTCAACTATAAATCCCTTTTGGAATTATTATGATTAATTATAAATTTTATAAATCTCATTGCTGATGCTGATCTATTTGTTCTTGCACAGGCACATTTTGCGTTTAATTACCCACTTCATATTTTTTACTTTCCTTCATGTTTCACAATACTTGATTTATTGTTTTAAATTTGCATGTCATCGATATTGTGATTTTTATCTAATGTGTATCAATCTTTAACAGTTTTAATTTTGCTTAACTGTAATTTTGCGGTGTTTGGTTCTCACGTGGCGACAAGTCGAAGCCTTATCCAAAAATTCCTCTGCGGGTAGGTCTGTCACTATTAATCTTACACAATACATAAATTACTTATAAATTATTCTGTGAATTTTCGTAGCAATTTTGATTCAAATTAAAATTAAATTATGCCATTAAATCTGTTTGCATTTGTTAAAATTCTACTTATATTTCTTACAATAATTAAATTTTCCCAAACAAAATTTAGATTAGCTCTTTTGTTTTAAGTTTATTTATTGTTTTTTTTTTTCTTTAATTCAGCATATACTAAATTTTTATGCTATTTATAACTTCGGAATTACTATTTTTTTGTTATTGGTGAGGAAAAAACTTCTGAATTTTGAACGTTGAAACGTCTGAATTTTTCTAGGCATTTTTTTCGATGGTAGTGCTTCTTAACGTCAGCTTTCATTTTTGCGTGATTTTACCATTTCTCGAGAACTTTTTTAGTAAATTGAAAAAGTTTTGCACATAATTATAAATTTTTTTTATCTAAAGATAATAAATTTTAGTAAATATTTATCAGCTTTTATTATTTTATTTAATAATACTCAAAGAAATTTTGAATTGCAAAACATAAAATTTTTTGCATTATTTTAAGGAACATAATTTTAAATGGAAAAATACAAAATTAGAGCGGAATCAGTCAAATAGTTTTTGAGATATCAAATTTGAAATAAAATAATTTCAAAATCCGCTTCTAAATCATGGCTGTATTGAGGAAATTCATGCAAGTTCTATTTTGGCTAAAAAGTGACTCAAAAATATAAGTTGCGTCAGAAAAATTTATATAGGCCCTAATCAAAGGGGCAAAAAAATAAACTTGTGAATTAGACAAATATTTATCTGCTCAGTATGTGTTATGAAATACAAATGAACCTGGCAATACTAAATAGAGTTTATGTTGGCTAAGATTTTATGTTGGCTGAATTAAATCTGTATTGGAAAAAAAAAACTATGTAGGCTCAATATGGGCTAAATAATGGCTTCAAAATATCAGATACTTATATATATGTTCTATCCAGCGGTCGGAAGTAGCAAAACAACTGTAGTCTCTTCTTTTTTTCATAGTATGCTATTTTTTTAAAAAAAGGTAGTGTAGCGGTCAGTGTAATACAGAAAACAGTAGTTTGTAATGATTCCTGGCAACTACTCTTTACGTATAGTTAAGTAAAGAAACAGGGTTCTAACACTACGAATTTTTCGAATTTGATGGATACAAGTCTTTGTGGGTCCATAAATAGATGCAATTTAAAATTCTGTGATTGTGAGTAAACAGGAAATATATATTTAGAATCACGTAAAACTAATAATTAACCTAGCTATTATAAATAATAGATAATTTATCACTTTGATCGCACTTTCCTAATGCAAATGAATATTGAAACAATGATGTTATTTCAAAGGAAGGAAACATATTTTCGATGTGCTTAATTTCTTACAGGATATAAAAGAGCATTAAACATGCAACGAAACTACTAGTATTCGATAACTTCCTAGCATTTCTAAAATTAAATTTTCGCTTTCGAGAAAGGCATAAGAAGTTGAAGATTGAGTGAACAAATTCAAAAAAAATAAAAATAAATAAAGGTTTTAGAATGACAAACTGGCTCATGTGAACATGAATAAATATTTCTAAATAATTCTTCAGGTTTATTGTAAACCAATTTTTTTATTCAAAATCATTTTGATCATAATGTGTGAATTAATTTCTCAGCAGTGTAATTTATACAGGTGTAAATAAATTTTTCCGGCAAAGTTTGGTTCCTTAAAGTAGTGAAGTAGTCGCTACATTTCGAAAGCGTAGTTAACTATGTTTGTAGCAAAGTAGTTGTAGTAAGCCTCAAAAATAATGTAGTTTTTCCGACCACTGGTTCTATTCTTGGCTGAATAATGGCTAATTGGTTTTATTTACAATGCATAAACTGCCAATATATAGAACTCATCGAATAAGTTGAAAATATGGAGAAGACACGGAAAATAATGTAACAAAGATTAATGCAAAGAGAAAAAGAAAAAATACTTAAAATAAGATATTTTAAAAAAAAATTATTAGAAATGCCTGCAGACAAAATAATGAAAGGATATAAACGCGTCATCAGATCACATGATTATATATCCGCAAGGAGTGCTTTCTAATATTGTATTAATATAGCCAAAGCAAAATACTATATCAATACAATAGTGTGTGAGGAGCGCTCAAATATATATATATATATAAGTTATAAGAAATGCCTACAGAGCATTATAATTACAACAACACCAAAAAACACTATTTTTTGAAATTGACAAAAATAAAAATAAAAAATCATTTTGTCCAAAACAATAATTTTTTACCTTGTTAAAATATTGTGTTTAACGAATGTCAGAAGAATACATAAGAGAAATTGCATTTTACTTGCACATATAAACTTTCCAAAAGCATGAATTTCAATTTCTGATTTTTTGGAAGCTTCATTAAATTCACAAATGTTGATCTTCTTCAGGGCTATAAAATTCGATTTGTTTTTAGAAAAGAAAAAAAAACATAAATACCGTTAAAAAAAATTAAGTGCTCGAGCCGAGAAACAAATTAAAAAGTTAAAAATATACATCTCTCGTTTAACTCGAGTCTAACTATAAGTTTAACTATATCAATTATGCCAGCAAACCTTGTATGTATTCAAAAACAGAAAGTAAAGGGTTAATTTAATTGATCCAGTAGTTTTGAAGAGTACTGTGAAAGGAAAATACCTACTTTTTTGTACATTGCAAGCGAGCTATCTTTTTCAGTAATAAAAAAAAAATGTAGTTTTTAATAGTTTTTCAGGAGAACAATATACTTTTAACACATTAAATGACTTCATTCTGGAAAGAATAATTCTATCTAACATAAATAAATTTGTTTCCCGTCAGCATATTGCAAAAATTGAATCGTGATAAAAATTGGTTTGATCGAATGACTTAATTCATAACTTATTTGAAAGACTGATTCTGGATAGAAAAATTCGAAGGGTTGCAATCGAAAAAATTTTGTCAAATATAAATAATTTGTTTCAAGACAGCATATTACTAAAATCTTATCGTGATAAAAATCGGTTTCAGAAATTTTTTGTTTTTAAAGTGACTACAGAATTTGGAGCATATTCACAATTATTTATGGTATCGAAAGAAAAGAAAAAGAGAAACGAAATTTATTTTTAAAAATATACTACCGAAATAACATGGCTAGATTTCTCTAGGATATAATGCACGATAAGAAATTTTTTTATTTCGTATAGGATATTTTGAAATACAGTATACTCTCGATTAAAGTTAAGGGACGCTAAAAATTTTTCGAGATAACAAGTTCAGAACTAAATATGTTGGAAAGAGTAGAAAAATATACTCTAAAATATCACGAATTTGGGTGGTAGCATGTCGAATTTGATGAAGAGCCTCAGAGCTCAAATAAATCTTGCTAGGTTAAATTAAGCCTTACCTATTGAAACGCAGTGCTATAAGCGAAAGCAGGGAGCACGCCGCACTTTACTATACTCCATACTCATAAAATATCACTCAGAAAAGTGGAGTTATGAACTATAAGAATAACTACCAATAAATATGTACGTAATGATGGTTTATTATAGGTTTGATACAAAAATTATAATTTTATTTTTAAAAGTAAGACAAAAATAATTGCGTATTCAATGCAAAAGAATTGGTGTATAATGAACTTACACAGTGATTTTTCCGAAAAAATTCATTTTCCATTTTGAAGAATAAAAAAAAAGAAGAAAAAAAAAACGCGACATGATAAGGTTTAGAGAAGAAACTCTTCGACATAAAAATTTAAATTAACATTAGGTAGATATATAATGTTGAGAGGAAATATATATTTTTTGACATAACAAGGTTTTTGAGACATCGAAGTTCGAGATATCGAGAGTATACTTATATGCAGATTTTACATTTTCTCCAACATAATATTTAATTCCCGGTATTAAGAGGATGTTATACCGTGGCAAAAATTTTCATGACTAATACTCTACCTCCTCCATTGGAAATTTAAAGGATCGACAAAATAAAGTCTAAATCTTAGAGAAAACCATGAAATTTCAAATGTCGAAAAAAATATTAAAAGGAAATCAAATTATTGCAGGTTAACCTCTCCACTGAGTAGTCCTGACATAATTTCTTTGCATTTTAATATTCTGAAGAGAAAAAAAAAAATCACATTTTGAAACTTAGTGATTTACCTTAACTGACATTTTCTATACTTTAGGAATTGCTATACTTAATAAATTACTTATGTAAGCGAAAGAGAAGTTGCCATGCAGAGTTTCTCCCTCGATATAGCGTTCTCTTAGGGGTTTAGACCCCTTAAATCGGATCCTTTCTCACTTAAAACTAAATAAATATAGGGTAAACTATTTTTTTTTCCATTTCCGTTTGTTTTAATAATTAATTATCCTCACTATCTCGCTCTGCCCCTTACGTGGGTAAGGTTAGAGTACTTGTTTTAATTTTCTCATCTTCTCTTTTTTTGAATAAAAATAATTGTTTTTCTTTAATTTTTTTTCAAAAAAAAAGAAACATTGTATTTTTAAGAATTTGAAAGCATTATCTATTTATAGAAACGCTTGTAGCTGCCTGAATGAACTATTTAGCAGTTTTAAAACATTTTAAACTAGGTATTCAGTTTTACGTGGCCTTCCCTTACTATCAATTTAAAAAAAAAAGCTTCATAATTTTTTTCCGATAAAACAGGTTTTTTCGCCGAATAATAAAAAAATATAATAATAATTTTGAATAAAAATAATATCTTTTCTATTTAAAAAAAAAAATAATTGTATTTTTAAGAATTTAAAAGTATAATGTATTTATAGAAACTTTTGCAGCTTTTTTTAATTAGCTATTTAGCATTTCGAAAACATATTTTAAACTAGGTATTCAGCTTTACCCGGTCTTCCCTTACTGTCGATTTAAAAAGAAAAATTATATATTTTTTTCAAAACAAAGTGAGGCTTCTTCGCCAAATATTGTAAGTTTGGCTTTAGATTAAAGAGTTCGTAAGAAAGGTAACCCTAGCAACGAATCAGAATGGTTCATCTGCCAGTTTGACAAGCGGGACGCGGTAGTTCGTATTAGAAAAAAAATGACAGTTTAGAAGAGATTTTGAAACGTGTGTGTCTTTGTATTGTTTACATCTTCGGAGATAGCTCGTGTGTGTTTACTAATAAAACCTTTCTCTGTGTGGAAATATTGTGTGACAATGTCATTTTGATCAAGTTTATTCGAAGACAACCCGGATTACTGCCAGGTGGGTTTATATTGTGAAGTGGCATTATTTGTTTATTATTTCTCGTTATCATTTTTTATATCGACTAGGTACATAATTTTAACACGGTGTCAGATTTTATTGTTATAAATGTCATTTTTTTATTGAATTATTAGTTAGTTGAATATAATTTTTTGAGCATAGATTGATTTTAACTATTTTTCTTTAAGCACCTATGTAACATTACAAATAATTTCTCTACTAGTTTTTCTGTGTTTTTTATTATTTTTTTAATATAAATAATATTTTAATGCATAATCCATGAGTTTTAATACATAAGTTTTAAGGATGTTTTTAACGAAAGAAGTTTTCTGTGTTTTTTAATTTGAGATTTTTTTTAATCAGTTTGAAAAAAGAAATTAATTAAATAATGAAACCATAAGTTCTTAAGTATTCAAATCCTAAAAAGTAAAATGTACTTAAAAATAAATATATTTTTACACATTAATCACCTTTAATATTTAATGTTTTCAACAGACATATCAGCGATACATTTATTTTTCATGTTAAGCATTTGCATGTTATTGTAAATTGTCGTTTATTTTTAAAAGTTTATTTATGACGATATTTTAACATTTCTATGTAAATCATCATTAAGAGGATACCAAAGGAGCCCAACTCATTATTAAGAGGATACTGTGGCTAATAAATCCATAGTTTTTTTCTTTTTTCAAATCTTAATAGATACTGAATTAAGAATAAATAAAATAAATTACTAGACGAAAAAAAATTACCCATTTACCTAAGCTTAAAAATGTATATCATAGATTTTTATATGATTTTATTTATTTATTATAAATTTGATTTTTTTCAGAAGAGTAAGTCAGGAAGAATGAATTTATGAGATCGAATTTTTGATATTATGAGAAAATTTAATGTTAGCTGAAAATAGTTGTTACATAATACCGATTTGGTTTTGTAGCCAGGAGGTCATAATTTTTTTTCCGTAACAATACTGAAAGTAATAATAATGATAAATAAATAAATAAACGGAATTATAGCAATGGCTCTTCTCTTTTCAGAAATTACGATTTATCCATTATAAAATTCACAATTTATTTGATTTTTTATGATGTCAAAACATTTTGTTTTTTTTTTTTCTTTTTCAGTGAAAATAATTTGTTTAAGAGAGCGTTCTGAAAGTTTTGTGGTTTATTACTATTTTGTCCCCAACTCCTCAAACGTTAAAATGTTTTTACACACGTAAAACCCAGCTTGCATAACTTCGCTGGTTAAATAAGCTCTTTTTAACGCATTAAGTATTTTTACTTAATGTTTATAGCTCTAAGATGCTTTTTAACATTGTGAAATTAAAAGACTTCACACTGTTTAGGTGGGAGGGAACCACATTTTTTTATTTAATTTGCGAATGGCTGGAGAAGAAAATAGTTTTTTTTTTTCTTCGTTATATCAATTTTTGCAAAAACGATGCATTTTTTAAATGAAATTTAAATTGCTCGACAAAACTGTCAGAAAAAAAAACGATAAAGTTTTACAGTTTTGATAAAGTTTTGCAGTTTTTTTCGATTTTAAACATGAGGTGAAGACTTGTTTCGAATTATGAGTTCGGCCGATTTGGAAAACGTATCTTCGAGAAAAAACGTTTTTAAAGTTTTAGATAGTGCGTGATTCGAATAGTTAAAGATTAACATAAGATGTCCAGGGGTGGATAGTATTCCGTATTTTTCGTATAATTTTTCTAGGTCTAGAAACTAGGAGCAGGTCATGTGATTTTTTTTCGCGGATTTCAGCGCATCTCTAGACCATTGATTCACGGACTTCTGCGAAACAAAACTGATGATCCGACCGAATTTTCACCTCAATCTAAAATTTAAAGTAAGAATTCTAAGTTATAAATTTTGACACCTTCGCTGATTCACGTTAACGAAACGTTTTCATGCACGTGACTCTTCGGCAATTTTGATTTTTTTTCTTCTTCGGTTTGTCGGATTTTCATAGTTTTTAATATTTGAAACTACGCCGGAATCCGCTAATATCATGATTCATATTCACGTGATTTTAATATCAAACATCAATTTTCGCATATACCTCGTTTAAAAGTCACTCATTCAAATCCAGTATCGTGATTTCGATTTACACGTTTTTGAAATCAATATCGAGATTCGTATTCCCGCGATTCAAGAATCCAATATCTCGATTTGTATTTTCGCGTTCTTAAATTCAACATCGTGATTCATAATCACGCGATCTTAGAATCCGATATCGCGATTTGTATTTTCATTTTCTTTAAATCGAATATCGCGATTCTTGTAATTCTCAAAGGTTTTTCTTGAATTAATTACCATAAAAGTTTTATATTCTTTATTAGTAGGTCATTTAATTATAAACCTTAGTTCAAAAGATTATATTAAATGTGAATTTGGTATATAAATTGTTATCGATTTTTTTTAAACATAAAATTTTCAGGGTTTCCCATTTTGCTTCACAAATGACTCTGGAGGTCACTATACCGCCGAAGAATCTCTTAACGGCAAATTTTCTTTGATCTGAATGAGGAATTAAAATTAGAAAACATGAGTTCGGGTAAATCATAAAGTTTTAAATGCTGGAAATTCTTATTCTAAAAATCTCAAAAAATCAAGCAAATTATGGCAGAATAACTCAGGGTTGCACAATGGGAAAGTATTCCTGCAATTTTAAACCCAAACAAAAAATTTATTTGTTTTTAATTAAATATTTTCAAAACATTTCTTCAGCATTTGAAACTTATGGTTTACCTGAATTCTATATTCTTTAAATAATGAATGTGAAACAAAATTTGCCTCGAAAAGTTTTTCCCGTGGTATAGCGTTCTACAAAGGCACCTTTTAATGAAAGAAAAATAAATGGTCTAACTATTTTAACACATTCGAATCTCAATTTAATCGATTAAAGTCTTATGATTACTAATGGAATAGTTATTATTACTTATAAGTAAGAGAATAGTTTTTGTTTATTAATAATAGTTATTAATAGTTTTTAATTTATTATGTGGGTATTATCATAACCATTTTCAGTGAATAAAATTTTAAAAACGGGTTTTTTGAGACAAATGGAAGGAGTTAAAATAAAATACAGTAGAGCGTCGATTATCCGAACTGCTCGGGACCGAACGTGGTTCGGATAATGAAATGTTCGGATAATTGGAAAGTTGTTTAATACTTAATTTAAATGATTATTATTTATGCACCAACTTCCCTTCACACTTTTTATAGGCTTAGGACTGGCAGTACTATCTAAAATAGCTCTGGCGAGTATAAGACTTTTTTTTTTCAATTTTTAAATATATTTTTTTTAGCTTTTTTTTTTTCAATTTGAATCATTTTTATCATAATTCGGCTTTTTTTATAATTTTTTTTCTCAATTACTGATTTTACCACATTTTTCTTCATTTTCCATTGCAAAAAATATCCAGCAAAGACTTTTGTTTCAAAGAACATGCTCTTTTTTGTGCAGCCATATCCCTTATTCTTTTTAAATAAATCAACTGAATTAGATCAACATCATTTTGATGTTCTAGGTAATTCATTGCAATATCTAATGAATTGCATGCTTCTTATGATAAGGTCCACTATCTTGAACTTGATCACGTACTTCTTCCTCTTAATCTGAGGAGTTCCGATTTTCATTCAAAATTTCAGAAACAATTTCATGATCATTTAAAATTTGAAATCCTGAGTCGTTTTCAGTGTCTCGACACCAGTCTTCTATTTCTTCTGTATAACATGGCATATTTTCACCCGAAAGATCTACCGATTCACAAACCGCAGTTTCATTTGTTTTTCTGATAAGAATTTTATTCCAAGATTTAAGATTCCAAGCACTGTAATCACTATTCATTAACCATGAGTGACAACTACCCATCCCCCAATTGTAGAATTTCAGCACTCATCTATTGATAAGCACATTCCGCTTTCCAACAATTGTAAATTGTCAGATTGTCAAAATGAAGCTCGCATTCTTTGATGATAATTTTCAGTTGAAGAGGGCTAAAGGGGTATGTAGGTTTAACTGTATAACAATACATGTATGTATGGCTACTATAAGAAAACTGCTGAAAAAGGTTGTAAATTAAATATGGTCTTCAGATGTAGTGGATATTATCTATTCCTCTAAATTTAGAAAAATTGTCGATAAGTTAAAAAAAATTCTAAACTTAAAATAGAGAAGAAAAAAAAAGCGAATTCGGACATAGTTCGGATAATTGGACGTTCGGATAATAAGGGTTCGGATAATCGGCGCTCTACTAATGTTGGGTGCTTTTCTTATACGTTCTTCAATAAATAAACGCTGCCGAACAGAGAAGTGTATGTTCAACAATCACTTTGGTGAATGTCCGAAATATTTGTTACATCCGATTTGGTGTTAATTTATTTGTTGATATTATTATATTTATTCGATATCTGCTGAGGAATAGATTAGGAGAAACATCAATGTTTCGGAGTACCGGTTATTTGCATACCTGGCAGTGCCACTGAACCTTAAAAAAGAACAATGCAAATGTGGCACTTAGCTATACCTAGTATATATTTCGAACATTTACTAAAGCGACTATGTGAGTGTCAACATTCACCGGTGGAAGTCAACAACCACCCATTTCTGTCATTTCACACAAACATATATAAGTTACAGTTAAAGTGGATGATGATGATGGTATTATGTACAATGAAGGGCTTTTTATATAAAGTATGAAAATAAATGTTCTAATCCTTAGGCTTTGTATACAATGTGTAGACAATGAAATGCTCTTTAGACAAAAATAATTGTTTATTTTAAAACGCATACATTTTACTACCATTTTAAATATAAAAATGAAATTACAAGTGAAATCCGTAATTGCTGTCGAATATAAATCTCATATATTTTACACAATACATATCACATTAAATTTTGCCTATTTTTCATTTCGTATTATATGAAAAGCTTAATCAAGAAATATAGGCATCCTCTGTATTGTTTATATTATGCGTGTAACATATCTA